GAAAATCCCCTGGTCAGGATGGCCTCTTCCCAGGATTTCCATCTGCTTCCTCCTTCAGGTCTTTTCCTTTAACAGGAGCATAAAATGAGGGTTTTGAATGACCCACGTGTGTGCCTTTTATTTTTGCTTGGTCAATATATTGGAAATACTCAAGGCCAGGTTGGATGGGGCTTGGAGCAGCCTGGAAGGTGGCAGGGGGATGGAATGACATGACCTTTAAGGACCCTTCCTATAGGAAAATGTGACAAACCCTGGACCCAGGGAAGAAATTATGATGTCTGCTCCAGATCAGAAGGCTGAAGGATAGCTTTATTAAAACTATGCTATATTACATTAATATACTATTTAAAGAGATACTATCCTATTCTACACATTCACTTCTTACTTACCCATTTATTTAACTCAAACTCGTGACTCTGCTGAGAGTCCAACCCAGCTGGATCCTATTGGTCACTGACCCCAAACAACTTCACCAGAATCCAGCCCAGCCATCCCTGCAGGTGAACAATCTCTGGTTATTGACCCCAAACAACTTCCCCAGAATCCAGCCCAGCATCACTGCAGGTGAACAATCTCCACATGGGCAGAACCAAGGAGCAGAGATAAAGATTGTTTCCTCTTCTTCTCTCTGTGCTTCTCCTGAGAGACAGAATTGTGTGAATAATTCTCATGTGAATGTCACACCTTCCAACCCAAAGCATGCCATGATTCCATGGCTGTGCTGGGAGCTGGAAATCAGCAGGAATTTGCTGCTGGCACAGAGGGGGTGAAACAGCCAGATACCCCTGACACAAAGGACATCAGCACCCCAAAGCCAGGTAGGACATGAGGGCTCAGCTGGAAAAACTCCACCAAAATCACAAAAGCTTTAAAATCTATTTAGTGGCGACTGCAAAATGTTTTGCATAAACTCCTTTCTTCCTGCCTAAATGTGAACACATCCAGATCAATCACCAAGCTCAAAAATCTTCCTGGTTCTTTTGTGAACATCCTGCTTTGTTATTCCTTTCATTTGTCTTGAACAGAACAAGCCAGCACGGAGAAAATAACTTATTGTGGATGATCAGAAAGACCTTTTTTCCCTTGCTTTTCAAACAGCAGTACACAGAAGTTGAATGTTGTTCGTACACAGAGTTGCTGTTTTCCATATATAACCAAGGTGTCACGCAGCTCATTATTTCAGGGAAAAAAAATCAGTGTCAACAACCAAGGCTTGTGGCTGCCATTGGGTTCATTAAAAACAAAAGTGTTTGATCTCTTGAAGAAATAAATCAGCTCCTGGATTTTAGATTTTCTTTTCTACACTTGGTCTTTATGAAAAGCATCAAAAAATGAAAAATCTAAAGTGACATCCTCCATTCTCGTGGCCTCTAATAGCCAGTCACTCCACCAATTTTTCTAAGTTTATCTTTAATCTACTATTCCCAAACTAATTAGGGATTGAAGGTCTTTGGACTGATTTTCATTTTGTCTTGAGTTATTGTGACATCTTTACTACAAGTTCTTTCTCAGTCTAATTAAATTCCTGCAGCATAAATGTCATTTTTCATATCATCACCTGTGGTAGCCTGACTTTGCCTCAGTCTCCTGAGGGACTGACTCCCTTCTTTACTTGAAGTAAGAACATCTCCAGGCATAGCACAGACAGAGAATCCATTAATATATAGGAATTCAGAGTGATTGGGTTTTATTAGGAAAGTCCAACAGTTGTGCCCTTATATTAGTTTTCAGAAGAATATTTCAATTTGTGCCTTCCTCCAGGCACAGAGGCCAAGGGCTGAGTCGTGCTCTGAGCCTGGCCCTGAGCTGACAGGACCCAGCACAGCCCAGAAATCCTCTGCTCTGCTTGGAAACACGGTGCAGGGGCTTATCTCCTGAACAAAATCCAAATGAGAAATGTTGATACTTAATGAAATATAAGTTTGAGGATTTCACAAAAGAAATCTGTTGTCACTGCTTTAATTTATTAGGGAGAGTTATGTGCAGATGGTATATACAGAGCTATTTCCTGACTGTACTCCAGAGTGAGTTGATTTGTGGTTTAATGACTTTTATCAAAATGAAATAAGCGTTTGATCTTTGGATTTGATCTGGCTATATCTGCAGCTGCTACACCACTACAGCAATTACTTCCAAGCTGGGCTTTTTGCCCAGGCAAATGGAGTTCGTCCTTGTTTCATGTCTCATTGACTGTCCTGATAATACACACAGTGCTTCCGTAGGTTTCTCCTTCCTCTAAATTTGATAGGTGTGAAAGTAAGAGAGTAATTTCCTTTTTATTTTAGTATCAGTGTTGTTTTATTATAATCCATTCACTACTCTGGTTAATTTTATCTCGAAGCTGCTCCTAACTAAAATTCAATACAAGAATGTGTAATTTTCTCCACATAATCCTGCTATGCCCCTCTATAGAGAAACAAGAAATTCATTTATGAATTCTAAATCTCAGACCCCTCGTGGTAATCTTCACATCTGTCCATGTGGGTTTAGGGATGAGTTTGTAGTGATATGTTGTGCACCCACGCTGGGCTAAATCCCCTCCTAATGGATTTCAGTGGAAGGCAATGCAGGAATTAATTTCCCCCCATCTCTGAAATAGTTGGGTTTTTTTTATTGTTGTTGGCTAATTAATCCCTGCCAGACTGAAGCTGTTAAAGTTAGCAATTCTTTCTCCAGTACCACACTTATTCTTTATTTACTGCTCAGGACAAGATTTGTCCAAGTTCAGCCTCAAAAACTCCTGGTGGGAGATGGTTGTCGTGATTAAGGGTTCTTAGGGCTTGGTGCTGCCAGCTGTGAGCTGCTGAGGAGCTCCAGCTGTGTCTGGGAGCAGGGCTGGGAGCAGGAGCTGCTGAGGTGGCTGGCAGCCAGCTCACCTGGGCCAGAGCAGCAGCAGGAGCTGCAGGTTCCTGCTGCATCGGGCCATGCTGGATGAAGATGTTCTGGAAGCAGCCTTGGTTTGGAGCCAGCAGGTCTGAAATCTGCTGATTCACAGTGGTGAGGAGAAGCAGTCAGATGGAATTACAAAACAAAGGAAGGATCTTTGTTTCTTTGTTCTCCCCCTTTTTACAGTCACTTCAGGACAAGGCGCTTCACGCTTTGCGTGGCTGGAAGGTAGATTTTAAATTTTCTCTTTTTTTGGCTGGATATTTCTTAGAGATAAGCAATAAAAATGGCAATAACTAGAAGTGACTGGTGGATGAGTTGCCTGGAGATTTGCAGTACTACCAGAATCTCTGTGAGAAGGCGGCTCAGCCTCGGAGCTGGGGAAGGTTTTCCTGTGCCAGGGTTGCTGCTGCATCTTTAGCAAATCAAACTCCTTGCACAGTCCTTGCTCCTTAATCCAGGAAAATTAAACCACCAGCCACAGCTACATTGTCCAGCCATCTGCTCTCCCAGGTGCTCCCACGCCTGAGCAGGGATGGAGGGGTGTGACCTAGAATCCCACTGCAGAGCTGGGATCATTCCCAGCACAGTCCCAGCCTTCCGTCTTCTGCATGACATCAGATAAAGTAAACATCAAGATTTGATGTGAGAGCATATGTCCATTGCATAATTCATTAGAGTTCTTCTCCACAACTATTTTTAGGTATTTTTTCAATCAGAAGTCGAGGGCGAGGATTATTCAGGAAAAGAAAAAGATAAGAAAATAATGGGGGAGATTAGAAAGATGTCTAGGTACTTCTAGGGCTGGGATCTGGCCATTTAGCTGTGTGTTTGGTTTTAAATATTTATGTCCTGGACAATTCCACAGTCCTTCATGACAGCTTGGTGGTGGGATGGTGTAAATCCAACAGCAGAACAGGAAACCTGCTCCTTTTTTATTCAGCACTGCTGCTAAAACCCCTGTCAGGCCAGACAGCACCTTCCATCATTTCAGACCGTATCACTCCATCACCCTGAATGTGGTTATTCCCAATTTCCACACACTAAACACATCCAAAACCATTTTCCCTCTGTTTTGCAAAGCATCTGCTGAGTGTTGGTGGGACAGAGCGAGCAGAGTTGGTGGTTTCCCTGCTCAGGTTGTACAAAACACCTCGTAACTGCAAATCCTCACAGCTGCCACAGCTTCTTCTCATGTGCCAGCAGGCTGCGAGCTGCTCCCAGGTTGTGGGAGCACCTGGGATGTTCCTGGGCTCTCAAATTTCCAACCCTCGTTTCACCCCACACGTGCAGGCTGAGCGGGTTTGCTGTAAGACAGCCAGGACAAAAATCCTAACCCAACCCCAAATACAGCGTGAGTCACTGACAAGAAATGGAAGGAGGAGTTATTTTGAGGCTTTTACATCTTCCCTATTGCTAGGAGACAGCTCTTGGGCACGCGGGGCTCGTCAGGCTCCCACAGCTGCCTCCTCGGTGTCCAGGGCAGCTTTGAGGGAGACAAGGAGAAGGGAATTGGGATGGGAGCTGCTTCTCATTCTTCAGTCTTTCTGAGATAAATGCAGAGTGTCCTGGAGGCAGCTGCAGGCCCAAGGGGAGCATGGTGCCTGAAACGTCACCTCGGGCTGGCCTCGGTCACTCAGCGCCTCGGTCACCCAGCTTCCACTCTGCAGAGAGTGGGGTCTCCGTGTGCTGACACCACACTGGGGCCGAGTTTGTTCTGCCTGGGAAGGTGCAAAAAGGCAGCACAGCCAGCCAAATCTGGGCTTGTCCCTGATGGTCAGGGATCATCACAGCATCGCCTGCCAGCACCGGAGTCCCACAGGGGCAGCCCGTCATCAGCACCAGCCTCACCACCTGCGACCCCAGTGCTTGGAATTCTCAGTTCTGACCAACAATTATTCAGTTTTCATAAGGCAGAGCCTTTTCTTGGGTCTCAGTATGGGCTGATTGAGGCTGGGGTTGTAAATGGACAGATCTCCTGAGGTTTTGTCACGGGTGGGCAGAGCCTGGAAAAAACCAAAGCTGTCACAAGAACATGGGAATTTGTCATCCAGAAGGGAGTTGCTGAGACAACTGTGGAGTATCTCACACTGTATTTTTCACACTAATGCCAGATGGCCAGGAATGGGATCCCCCACGTTCTCCTCCCAGTCTGAGAAGACAAGAAAATAAACAAGGAAAATGTCTGTGCTGATGGCATCTGTTGGCTCCATCATAAGGTGAGTCACTGCTTTTGATTGCTGAAATAATTAGGATTTCATTCTAACTGGATTCTCATGTTAACCCTTCCTGCACCAAGGATCCCAATCATCCTTTTAGTTCCTGGCAGGAGTTGGAACTGGATGATCTTTAAGGTCCCTCCCAAACCAAAACATTCTGGGATTTTGTGGAAAATCAGACTTGGCAGCAATTCCAGACAAGGACATTTTACACCAGCTGGGCTGTTGGTGTGGAACCCCATCCCTCTGCTGCTCCCATCACCCACAGGGCCATCAAGACTCGGTTTCCTTCCAGCTACAGGACAAGAGTGCAAGGAATTACAAAAGAAGAAACACAGGGAAGAAATCTGTGGAAATATTTGAGTGTGGGGTGCTCTGCAGCAGGTTTTATTTAGGAGGTGCTTGACACATAGGACCCATACTCACTGAGATCCTTGCACTCCTGCCAGATATGTGTGCACATACATTAATTTTTAAACTCATATGCAGCATTTCCTACCTGGCAGGTGCACCAGAGCAGTTTTTCTCCTTAGCAAATAAGGGAAAGAGCCGGGCAAGTATAAATGTGTTTCTTAACAGCCTTGTTTGTGACAAAATTGCCAAGTAAATCTTCACACGCCATCGGGCTGCGAGTATTCGAGTCACATTTGGACAGCAAAGCCCACTGCACGCAGCTTTCATTACAACATTTCTCTCAAGCACAGCCTGTCTCTCATGTTTTTCTGAACATTGTTTAAAGAACTGATGAAAGGGCTGAAAACTTTTTAAACTTTCCTTTTCTTGGGTCTCTTCAGCTCAGTCTTTCATCACTCAGTCAATAAACAGTGGAGGACTCTTCTGAACTGCAGTGGGAGCGAGGAGGAGCAGGGGAAATTAATGATATCACCAAATTGAAACTCTTTCAAGTCCCCTTTAATTGCAGAGGGCACAGGGAGCTCATTCAGTTTTAATTCTCTGATCTCTTGCTGTCCCCAAGGACCAATCTGCCTCTCCTCCCACGCCACACACGATTTTCCCAGGGTGGGTTCCTGGCTCCTTGCTCAAGGCTCCTGTGCTCTGCAGAGCCCTTCCCAGTGGGATTTTGGCAGTGGAACAGCAGCCACAGCTGCCCACTGAGGTGGTCACGCTGCCCTTGGGCACCACACAGGGCTGATCCTGCTCCATCAAGCCCGTGGTGCCCGTTTGGTGCCTCAGCTGCCCATCTGTGGGCTGGGGATCACAGGATCCCACACTGATTTTAGCTGGAAGGACCTTAAACCTCATCCAGTTCCACTCTGGCCATGGCAGGGACACCTGGCTCTGTCCCAGCTGCTCCAGTCCCTGTCCAACCTGGCCTTGGGCACTGCCAGGGATCCAGGGGCAGCCACAGCTCCTCTGGGCAGGTGAACGCCACATATCCAAGCAGTCCAAAGTTAAAAGAGGAAACAATAAAACCCCCAAGAACCTCCAAAAATTGCTGCTGTCCACTGAGGAGCTTCAGCTGAAGGTACCAAGCATTCCCTGGCTGTCTTTGTCTCATAGGAAATATCAGTGCAAGAGACGGAAAACTGCTCAAAGAGCCATTCCCACCGTGGAAAAGCCTGAGGATTATCATCACAACAGGTCCCTGGGCAGAAACACGAAGCATAAAGCTTTAAATTCAAGTCACACTGATAAGAATAACAAATAAAGAGACCAAATTCCCTTAAAAAATGGGATTACCAAAGCCATGGGGAAGAAATATTTTAAAGGAAGTTAAAGAGAAGTTAATCTGCTTTTATGTAATTTGTTTTCCTATTCTTCCCGAACCGGCTTGCTTTGGAGACAGCTGCTTTTAAGGTTTACAGCCATGCATATGGTTGGGAGGGATGGAATTGGCAGCCCTTGGCCTGACAGAATAATGGCTAACTGGAAAAATGGCTGGGTAGATAATTTACAGATGATACGACCACATCAGACCCAGTGAAACAACTCATTCATTTTTACAGCCTCCAGACTGCTGCCTGTTGTGATCTGTCCCTCCTGATGGCTCTGCTGTCACACAGCCCTTCCCTCCTCTCCCACGGGCAGGATCCCATGGAAATCCTCATTCCTGAAGGGTTGGACATGGATGGACAGGATCCCATGGAAATCTTCATTGCTGGAGGGTTGGACAGGGCAGGATCCCATGGAAATCCTCATTCCTGGAGTGTTGGACATGGATGGACAGGATCCATGGAAATCCTCATTCCTGGAGGGTTGGACAGGGCAGGATCCCATGGAAATCCTCATTTCTGAAGGGTTGGACATGGATGGGACAGGATCCCATGGAAATCTTCATTGCTGGAGGGTTGGACATGGATAGGGCAAGATCCCATGGAAATCCTCATTCCTGAGGATTGGACATGGATAGGGCAGGATCCCATGGAAATCCTCATTTCTGAGGATTGGACATGGATAGGGCAGGATCCCATGGAAATCCTCATTCCTGGAGGGTTGGACACAGATGGGGCAGGATCCCATGGAAATCCTCATTCCTGAAAGTTGCAACATGGATGGGACAGGCTCCCATGAAAATCCTCATTGCTGGAGGGTTGGATAGGGCAGGATCCCATGGAAATCCTTATTCCTGAAATTTCTACATGGATGGGACAGGATCCCAACCTGTATCACCTTTGGAGCCATGGTGTTCTTTGTTCAGCAGTAAATGAGCAATTCCTGGAGCAATCCCACTTGGGGTAGTCCTGGCCCTCCCTCGGCCAAGCCCTGAGTGAAAGGCAGATTCTCATGGCTCAATTACAGAGCCACTAAACAAAATGGAAATGTTGATGTTCATTATTGATTTTATCCTTTGCTGCTCTGGAATGGTGCTACTGGGAGCTGTTGTAATCAGATTACCTTAAAACTTACTTACAGAATGAAGTGCTTAATTTATCCCCCCTTTTTCCTTTCCCAAAGCAATAAAACAGGAAGGGATCGGCTCTGTTTCCTGTAGAGCAGCCCTTCTCTTTTTGGTTTTTTTTGCTGTGCTTGTGTAATTCATCTTTTTATCACTCTCAAAATCTTTTTTTAAAGCATTTTGCATTTGTTATATATCCTCAAGTAATCGCTCATATTGGTTATGGAATAGAATAGACTGTGATTGTTGGAGATATAACTGCAAAATGTTTCCAATTTCTGGGAATATCCTTTGAAAACTACATTTACTGAACATCCATCTCCAGCTCCCTGTGCTGTCAGGTCACAGCTCCGTGTCTCTACAGCCTGGATGTCTTTGGGATTCAAGTCAGCCTGGCTGATTCTGGTTTAACTGAGGATCTGGGAAGTGCTGCATTTTGAGTGATATATCCTCTCATAATCTGGGAGGTTAAATGGTTTTTCTGATTTGATTCTTTACTGCCTTCCCCATTTCACATCAGATGAAACCGGCTGTGAAATGGCAGCAAATGCAAGTGGCACATTTGTGTGCTGAGCGCCTGCAGCGAGCACGGGGTGGGGGGGAAGAGGAATTGGGCTTTAATTGCCCCTCGTTAGTCATATGCTCTGTACAATAGGAGTGGCAATTTTAATGGGCAAAGAGTCTGAGAAATGCAGGCCCTGTCCTTATCCCAGGCTGGAAGTGGCTCTGACTCAGGGCACCAAAGTGCCCAATTCCTGCCAGGTCTGTGGCCCTGCAAGCTCTGCCCCTTGGCTGGGCTCAGGTGAGCGTGATCAGAGAATCCCAGAACTGTTTGAGTTTGGAGGGACCTCAAAGCCCACCCAGTGCCACCCCTGCCATGGCAGGGACACCTTCCCCTGTCCCAGGTGCTCCAGCCCCAGTGTCCAGCCTGTCCTTGGCACTACCAGGGATCCAGGGGCAGCCCCAGCTGTGCCAGGACCTGTCCACCCTGCCAGGGAACAATTCCCAATCTCCCATCCATCCCTGCCCTCAGGCAGTGGGAACCATTCCTCGTGCCCTGTCCCTCCATCCCTTGTCCCCAGTCCCTCTCCAGCTCTCCTGGAGCCCCTTCAGGAGCTCTAAAGTCTCTCTGGATCCTTCTCTACTCCAGGCTGAGCCACCTTGTTCTTGCTGTGTTCACATCCATGTGGAATTTGGCTCTGTCCTCTCGAGCCCCTGGTGGGCACCTGATCCTGAGCAAAGCACTCAGCCCAGGCCATCTCCTTGCAAAAGCACGGAACCATGGAATGCTTTGGGTTGGAAAAGCTCTTTAAGATCATCGAGTCCCACCACACAGCAGCACTGTTCTGACTGTGCTGCCACCCCGGGCTGATCAGACTGTGACCCTGCCATAATCCTCTCCAAGTGCCACTCAACCTGCCTTTCATAGGAACAAGACTTTTAATCTGTGGATTTACCACACTTAACCCTCTCCTTGCTGTGTCCTGCCTGCATTCCCAGCCGTTCCTTGGCAGCCAGCAGCTCTGATCCCAGCTCTTCTCATCATTCCTCTCCCTGACCAGCACTTTGGAAGGAGGGTGGAGATTTCTGTGGCTTAGCAAATGGCAGCAAATCTTGATACCTGCATTTCATAGCCTGGCCCGTGGGGTTAGAGTGATGTATTTACTCCAGCACCTAAAGTCAATGAATTACATCCAACCCTGCAAATGGCCATAAATATGATAGTCCGTGTGAGCTGAGGTAATTGCCTGCTTTATATATGTGTTTATCTTCCCTGCATTGCATACACAATGTGCATTATGTCAGGGAGATGACAAAGAGCAGCCATAATGCTCCTCAACTGCATATTTCTTCTTAGTTTATGGCTGAGGCTCGGAGTTATCTTATGCAGAGTTGGCTGCAGTGGTTTAATATAAATTAACATACTTAGAAAATGTCAAGGAGCATTAATTGACAATTTTGGAGGCCTACCTTGCTAAATACCAGTTCAATTCTGAAGCCTGTCTCTGCAAGCTTAATATATGGAAAATAATGCTTATTCATGAATGGCTTATGTAACTTGGCATTAATTACGTGGCAGCGAGTGCTGGCTGTCACAGATGGTCTCTCAACAAAACCAGGTGCCAAAAATAAAGTTTCAAGC